CTTTCCCCTTGGACTTGGGCCCCTGTCAAAAACAAACCAACCATGAGACGAAGAGACCACGATCGACGAACTGGGTCACTTACCTGAAGAGCCAGCTCGTCGGCCGAGGAAGCGTCTCCCTCCTGGACCCCTTCGTCGTCGACATCCATCGCAGTGTCGGCGACGGCGGCGGCTTCCTCATCGCTGAGGGACTCGGGCTGCACAGGCTGTGCTTGGATCCGGGCTGGGAGGGACCAAGTGGTTAGTCTGAGGATCAACGAAATAAGACATAGGGTCACACACCTGCGTGCGCCTTCTTGTGAACGCGCTTGGGGGGTGCCTCCTGTGGAATAGGGACCGAGGTAGCGGCTACGACAAATCAGTACCCGCGACTTTGGTGAATGAAATGAAAAAGCCACTTACGAGTAGGCGCATGGGACGACGCCTTGGGCTCCTTTGCAGGAGTCGCCTTGGGTCGCTTCCCCTGCGACTTCTCGCTCGACTTCTTGGCGACGGCGACCTTGCTGCCCGCGACGGCGGCAGGGGCCTGCGGCTTGGAGCCGTCACCCTTCCCCTTCTGCTTGGCAGGCCGGGACGACGAAGGGGCGGCGACTTGTTCGGTTGGAGCCGCCTGGGGGTCGATCAGAACATAGTAAACGAATGAAACAGAGTACGCGTACGGGTTCGACGACGCGTTTGCGTTTCTTTGGCGGCGACGACTCCCCAACTGGAGCGTTGGTGGTCAAGGGCGTAGACGCCGGCTAGCCCTTACGTTAGTGAAAAGAATGGAAGACCAAAGCGAACAGACGCGGCAATCATTGATCGCCGTGCCTACTCGCTCCAGCGGGCTTAAGACGGAGCTCACCTGTTGGATCTGGCGGACGTCGACGGCCATCTGCCGCAACATCTGGTTGTAAGCCTCGGGGCTAGGCAGGTGGTGAGTTGGATCGACAAGCCATGAGAGAGACCTTGACTGACGGCATGAACTGCCGCCAGTCGATGGCAGGCGGGTTTGCTCCCGGGACAGCTGATTCGGTGACGGCTGATGGACGGTTAGCGTGGTTGAAAAGTCGCGGTAATCGTCCTGGGCGTCACTCACGGTTGTTGTCTTGGGGGCGGGGGCTCTGGTCGGGCGCGGACATGGTGGTCGAAAAGCAAGAGTGTCTCGTACTAGGGAGACTCTCGACCCTGAAAATTGAGGGCATTTATATGGTGAACATGCCGGAAGAAGTTTGATCGCGGCAGATCACGGAAGGAACCGAACAACCAAATGAATAAGACGTGGGAACATAACTCTATGTCTCCGCGGCTTTAATAATAAATGAATGAGACGTCGACTGTTGGACTTAGACCTGGCGCAGTGAGACTGTCGCGGGATTGACCAGGAGGTCAAAATTAGTGTTCCTGGGAGATGATAGGCTGGCTACCAGACGCGCTCTGCACCAGCTCTGCAAGGGCGTATTTTTGCGCTTTTCTTACAGAGTTTACTCTCGAACCATTCGGTGTATCGTGTCGCGGTTGACGGTGTTGCGCTCAGTAGGACTTAAGGGTCTACTGCCCAGTCGACGACGGTGGGTAGTGTCGACGATAGCAAGGCAGTCAGACCACTACTGTGGAACTGGTCTTATGAGTCTACACCAGGCTCAGGGCCATTAGTGACGAACGCTTGGACCGCGACCATTCCCCAGAAAGGGATCTGTCGTTGCGTCGACTTCTCAAAAGGGTCATTCTCTGCGGATGGGAACTTGGGCTGAAGGGCTGAGCAATGCGCGACGTTCTCAATAATAGAACTACTACTGGACAGGACTTGGCGTTACGAGACTTAAACCATCTTGTCGCGGCAACTCCCGGTTTTGAGTTGGACGTTTCCTCAGATCATGCCACGACGACGACTTGTCACATGTCAGGATCCATTCGATCACGGGACGTTGTGGACGCGTCGCGGTGACACTTCCAAGTGTCACGGCGAGTCGCGCCCATACCCAAACACACTAGAAACCGACACGGTTAGATCCGTGAACCGAACCATGTGGGGGACGGCTGGCGTGCCTAGGGCCATACGGCTTCTTGGGGCGCCCACGTTGGTCTCACTTGCCAAGACATACCCGTTGGCCAATCCAGCACGTCGTATTCCAAAAGTATGACGCGGTGGGTTGACCCACATCAAAAGTATCATATGGACTATGGGGCGGGGTCCTGATCACTCAGGACCTGTCCGATCGTTCAACTTTTCAATTACCCTAAAAGGCAACCGATCTTAGATAGCGTAGCTACTATGCAGTTGTACAGGACTTTACTAAGCAGCGTCGTAGACAGTATAAGTAGCACGTCGTCTCTTTGTATTAGGGAGGCTTTCCCCCGGACTGTGAATCACTCTCATTTCAGATTGTTTTGTACAATTTGCGTGCCGCGTGATCCCACCCTAAGAAGTTCTGCTACCCCTGCCCGGTCGCGACGAGTTGCTCCCTGAGCACTTGTAGCTACTGTGATTTGAGTTTGAGTTGAGACATCAGAAAGTCGGATTCGCCGCATCTGGTTTAGTCGCGGCATTTAGTGTCGTCGCCTTCGGGCTTTGTTGAGATCGTTCCACACCTCTAGCTTGGCAGTGCGTCGACTAGTTGTGCTCGGGTTGTTTTGGTCAGTTGGCAGTGCGTCGACTTGAGAACTTTGGTTCCACACTTCTTGCTTGGCAGTGCGTCGACAAGTTGTGCTCGGGTTTTGGACATTGGATATTGGCTGTTAGTTGGCAGTGCGTCGACGCGGCATTTTGGTTCTACTAGTTGGCAGTGCGTCGACTCAGTACATTGGTTGTATCAGTTGGCAGTGCGTCGACTTGATATTTGGGCTTTGCGTCACCATTTGGACGCTGTCGCTACAAGGGATCTTAATACTTCGTATTAAGTTCTGACTTGTTATATTGTTGTTTGTGGATTGGATTAGTGTTGGTTGTGTTCGTATAGAAGATATTGGTTGAGATACCATTGTTTGCTATATATAAATTCTTGTCGTCGACTTCGTCTCCGCGACTATTGGATCTGCGTCTATTGAGAGTTGTGATACTGGTGCTCTGTCCACCCCGAAGCCCTCGCATCTTTCACACACTGAGAAGCTGATTACGAGGAGTGTGAACGTGTTTTATATTTGGGTTTACTTTCATAGTAGATTCACTTGTGAGCACGCCCTCAGCATTTCAGCGTTACCCTGCGGCTTAGCTCAAGATGGGTGGGGAGCACGGCCAGGCCGCGGGGTGTAGCCGTCGTCCGTTTGTGAGTTCGCGACGGACAGCGGTGGGCGCCCCATCACTCCTGCCATAGCTGTCACTGCGAGGGCTGGCCACCGCCTGCCTCGGTGCGAAGCAAACCGTGACGGGCGGAGGCCGCTGTCCGTCTGTGAGTTCGTGACAGACCACGGTGGATGATGGCCACGCGGAGCCTGCGTTTTTGTAGTCATCCCATACATCGCCCCAGCGGCGGTCGCTCTCCTACCCGCGTGACGCCCGCAGCCTTTCACAATCGCCGTCTGCCAGCGCACCGCCTTACCCACCTCCAAAAGCACCGAAAGCTCACGTTCAGGCAATGGCCTGGCTGCAACGGAGCGCGAGCCGTTGCCCTGGCTCCTGGGCGGAAACATCGTCATCAGCGTGCGCAACGTGCTCCTCCGCACTTCGCGCGCCCCGTGGAATACTTGCCGCCTATTTGTCATCCTCGGCTTCCCCGTCCATCCAGTGCCCATTAACCCCCGCCTCCCCAGCCCCGAGCCCTTGCACCAAGGTCGCCCACGACCCGCACCCCGGCACCTGCGCTGGCGCTGACAGATCTCTACGCCGCTAGGCCCTCCTTCGGCTGCTCGTACCTCGACCCCCCCTCCATCATGGCACTCACACGCGCCGCCTCCGCCCCGTGGATGCTTCCTACCGCCTTCCCACGCGCCCTGGCCGCCCTGTCCACCAGCGAAATCCTCAGTGGAATCGACCACGCCGGCGCGCGCGTCGAGCTGGGGCGTGCTGACGAGCTGCACCTGCTAGATGTGTAATCGCCGAGTGGCCGCCATCTCCGAGCACAGGCTCACATCATGATCTAATGGCCACCACTGACCACTGGTAGCCAATGGTGGCCGCCATTGGTCTTTCCAGTGATGGATGTATGACTTGTGGTACTTCGGTCAATGGCTCTCGTCGCGCACACTTTATAATGAATTCATGTAGTTGGAGCATTAGAGACACCAAATGAGTATCGACTATGCCCAAATAGTAAGGTCGACGACAAAGGACATGGTCTGTTTCGACTGATAAATCGATCGGGTGTGCTGGGGTCCTGGCACTCCGTGACTCGAGGACGTGTATATGCTTATTCGAAGCCTCTGATGACCGTTCCCAACGTCATAAGCGTGCTCGTCGTTGATGGCGGCGCGCTCGAGCCCTTCGGCTTGCGCCGCTTTCAGGGGAAATCCCTTGCCCTTGTTTTGAAATATGCACTCGGTATATAGCTCCTGGCCTCGGAGGAGGCGCAAGCGGAGGTACGACCGGGCCAATCTGCTGTCGATGTCTCAAAGATATTTCATTTATGATCAGTTCTGACGGACCGATATGCGAAAAAACGGCTGAAATCAGAGATTTGGCAGGGCAATTGTATTGGAGACCATGTCCTCTAATTTGGTGCTTCTGATCCGCGAGGTAGCTTCAAACTCCGCTAGATAACATAAGGCACTTGTGATGGGCCTCCTGCCAGACGGAAAATGATGTAATTTTTTTAGTGCCATTCTAAGGAGTTATTGTGACAAATGGAACAAGTGGGTGACTTCCCGTAAGGTTTCCGATTATATTAATGATTTCTGAGGAGTGCCAAATGATGTCGGCTACATTTGTTTTATGTTTTTTTATTGAGCGCTCTGCCCGTAAGGATTTCCGAGTTTCTGCATCAGTGACGCACGCGCATCACGGCCCGGTACTCGATGGCATCACACCACACCTTTCCCCCAAGATGGATCCCGACGCGCAATATTGGCAACAAATTGTGGCCACGATGGAGGAGGAGATGGTTCGGGATAATAACAAGCAGATGATGGTTGCATTGGGGTTGATCGGCTTTGGGTACGCGGAGGCTAAGCGGCAGAAACCAAACCGTCTGTACATGTGTTGGCCCCAAATCCCTCCCAATCCATGTGTCAATACACCCTGGAAAGCCATGTACGTCAACGGGAGCGATCGCGCATTCATCACCACTATGGGTATTGACACAGACATGTTCAGCCGGGAACGCGTGATCAAACACCTTCCTCATTTGGTTTATTCGAGGCTTTCTTGGTCTATTCGAGGGGTCTCTACCCCTCGAATAGATCCTGGTTTATTCGTGGTCTATTCAAGGCCTTAAGCGAGATCTGAGCTCGATGGGGTCCTGATCAACGCCTCGGCAACTCGGCATCAAGGGTAAAACGCCTTTATTATAATCGGAAACCCTTACGGGAAGTCACCCAGTGTTAGTGGCCTCTGAGCTCGAGGAACAGATCACAGCACTTTTTTTTCTGCCAACACGTGGTTGCTGTGCCGCCGGCATCCAAACGCCGACACTTCCGACATCGACTGTGATCGGGGCAAACTGTTCCGATTTCCTCCCCTCTTCCACTTCTTCCTCTTTCGATTTATTCTTTTATTCTTATATTTTCAGGCACCTCCACCAGTCTCGAGCCAATATTACCAGTTAGAACGCGTCCGTGCGCATCCCGAATGAGGGAACGCGTCGTGTCCACTGGAGCACGTGAGGGTACGTCATGGTTATGCAGATCTGATGACATGATTATGACACCGTAACAATGTGACACTGAGACCCCGACTCTGCATCATGATCATCCTTTCCTAAAACAGACCATGTCCTTTGTCGTCGACCCTACAAATAGATATCCTATAGTCTATAATAATACGATAAGCTTGAAGAATTTGCAATACCGCGAACACTCGTGCTGTCCAGGAAACTGTTTGAATAGTGTCTTGATATTGCCGCCACCAAATAGACCTTGCCTGATTTTCCTAGAAGAAGTTGTAAAAGGGAGGGACTTACAGAGAAGTCATGATTTGGGGATTGCTCAATATGGTCGATGATCCTGTTCAACGGTCAGCTATCACATTTGGCGCCGCAAATCAGCATGCTGTTCCCAGCCCCCATAGATCAGTGATCAATCTATTGTGCAAAAATCATCATGGCGGGTAACGACTACCGTACCGTCATATTATGCAGACCTGATGACATGACTATGACACCGTAACAATGTGACACTGAGACCCCGACTCTGCATCACGATCATCCTTTCCTAAAACAGACCATGTCCTTTGTCGTCGACCTTAATCGCAGTGACATCGCCCGCAAATCGGCCGACATACTCAAGTCTACGCGTAGCTTCGTCCGTGGCAGCTCGCAGAAATGCGTTGCTCCTGTCTTTTAGACGCTGACACTGGTAAAGAAGGAGCGGCATTCGGTTAACTCTGGTCTTTTCTTTTTGTTATCCTGCCAGTGTTGAGACTAGTGCCACGTCGTACGCATGTGATTAGCGGTGATTCATCGCCTCCTTGTTCTTGATTTGTCGCCGAACAGATCCCAACTGCAGATAGACTCTTTGCTGTACAAGATGTTCCGCTGAGTTTTACGGTTGCACAGTGGGCCTGCAAATGACTATCGTGCACGTAAACCAGTCTGTCTAGCTCTGTCTTGACGACCCAGTTTCTTTGGGGTTACAGTTGGGTTTACGACAAAAGATTTCGTCATGTGGCTTGGCACCAGGTACAAATTTCCGAGCGAGGGGTTGGGGAAGCTGATCTCATCAAAAAACAATTGTGTCGAGTTATTTGTCTCTCTCCACCACCACAAGCAGCGCCTTGTTCTTTTAACGTTACTGACACTGTCTTTACTCGAGCGGGCAGCTACTGGCACCTCCTCCTCCTCATACCCTACCCCACGCTCTTTACTAGATGTCCGCACCGTCCGCCGCTAGTCGCACACCTCTCTCCGGGGGTCATCACAAGTCTCCCTCCATGTCGCTGCCATACTCCATGGTGCCCACTCTCAACACAAGGACTCGCAGCCGAGGGACCATCTTCGCGTTGATCAGCCTCGTCACCCTCTCCGCCTTCGTCTTCTACACGCAAACGGACATCTCCTTTTCACACTCATACCTGCGGCATCGCCCCATCTCGGCGCATGACCAAGAACACCTGCTTCTGAACCTGGAAGCCGTCGCAGCCGCACACCACGGCTCGCCCGCCTCCGGCGCGAAGCACAAATCCGCGTTCACACGCCCGCCGCTGGCGCTCACCGCGACACAGGAGCTCGGCGCGGTCTCGGCCTTCATAGCCAGCCTGCCCCAGAACGTGATCCCTGTCGGCGTCGACCCGCAACGGCCGATTGACCCCCAGCTGATCCTGGACTTTGACACGCGTAGCCCGTACGCGATGGAGGAAGTGGACCGGATCGTGGAGGACGTCTGGCTGCAAAATCCCGTGATGGTGTACGGCAAGGTGCGTGCCACCGGCCACATATCCCCGGTCGGACACTGATTAAAAAATCGAATCGCAGTTATACTCGCCGCTTACCCGGGAAGTCAAGGCGATGCTGAATGACTTGAATTTGCGCCCTCCGCCTTTGTATATCGACCTTGACACACGTGACGACGTCGAGATCCTTGCGCCCATGCTCACGAGGCTTGTTGGTGCGTCCGACATGCCCGTTGTCCTGGTCTCTGGGAAGCCGCTAGGCCCGATCGAGCGAGTCCGAGAACTAAAGGCCGATGGCGGGCTACAGCAGCTTATCAAAGCGGCAGGAGCTGTTATCGGCGGAGGAGGGAAGCGCCGCAAGCACCACTAGGCGGCTTTCGGCAGGCTTGTATCGGTTTCTGGGGTTTCGGGTTGCGGGAGGTCCCCCCCTTCACGACTGCTATGTTTACTATCATCTTACTCATGCTAGAGTCATGCTTTGTGCCTGAACTATTACTTTTATTTGCATCTATAGAGGCGTAGATACGTGGAAGTGACCCTCCTACGACATGTACACACCCAGCCTTTGTACTTTTCCGGGTCGCATACAATCGTGCATAATTCATGGATGCCCTGATATGTGCTACGTGCCGGCCGACATCGACCGCATTCGTGTGCGAGGGGATCTCTTTCATCCATGTGACAGTTGCTGGGATCCACGCTCATGCATGTGCCGTCGGCGCTAGCATCGGAGGAGTGGAATCTCAGACGTTCGGCAGGCACAAGGGGCGGGTGGGGATGAATGGAGGTGGCTAGTTGCCGATCGCTTAGCCATGAAACTGCAGTACACATGTACTGTAAGGGAGCATGCCCGCATCGAGTCGCCGCCGCAGATCAGAACTCGAGGCCTCGACAGTGCGACTCGAGGCTAGTACCGTAAGCAGGAGGGTCTGTATCGGGTTCGTTATGCATAGACAGATGATCGCAGGAGTGCGTCTGTGCCCGACGTGATATCAGGTACTGAGTGGAGTGTTTGACCTGAGTTTGCTTGAATATTCATGCTCCGGTGACCACGGCAGCTGAGAGCAGGTTGAGGGACCGAGACAAAAGGGCCTGCCTGCCTCAGCACCCGGGCGAGGTCGAGTTGGACGGTGGCGCGGCGGTATTGATTGTCAGGGATCCGGATCAGCGGGAGATCGGAGCCGGTCTGTCACATGTCAAACACTTTGACTGGCTGCCACTTGTCAGTTTCTGAACCAAGCCGTGTCTGTGAGTGGACGATCTCATAATCCCTGAGTGCCCGGCGAGCAAACCGAGACATGGTTCCCGAGCAAGATTCTCATTCAACGAGCTGCAATCGGACTCCTATTCGCGGCATCTACGCTCGCGACAATAGTAAGCAGCGAGGCCCAGCGATAGTCCTTGGAGCGTGGGTCCCTGGGAATATTCCGCTCCTTTCTGCCTGATCAAAAGGTTCCTACGGGGACTCAAAGTCTCCGGTTTGTCTTGTGGGTTCCCCTGTTTAGCGCAGGCTTCCAGTCTACCTTTCAGTCTCCGCCATCCATGGAAGGTTGATAAATGGCTTCCGTCAGCATGCCAACTCTGGACGTGGTGTACACAGATGGTGATAAGGATTCACCATGTTTTGTTTTAAAGTTGAACATCCTCCCTTACTCATTTCACGTGTAAAGCACATTCGATGTCTTGCTTGACATCCCGGAGACTGTTCTGCCATTCTATCTGGTGGCGTCGCGCGGCTTTCTCGGCAACGAGTGATGTAATTTGCCTCCTCTTGGAACCCGCTCTTGCAGTGGACTAATAAGTTGGCACATGGCTCAGGAGCACACACAGGGGCCTGAAGATGGGGAAGCAGCGGATGCTTGGAAACGAGAGGGATTTTGAACGGCCGGGAAAGAAGCTACTGTCGCCAGTGTTCTTCTGTAAACACACTCTCCTTTGCCGGCAGTGGCTCTAGCTGTCTCGCACCAGACAATTATGCGGGGTTGTCCGATTTTTCCGCGGCGAGGCCCCGGGCTCAATTCGAACCATTTCACGATTATCAGAGCCCATCTGACATCGGGTAGAGCCATCTTGTATGTAATGTTGTTTTGGCGCACCTGATCGGGAACCCCCAGGGCCTGCATGATCCCAGCCAGACTATGTAGCCGGCCTCCGAGCTTGTTTCCCATCCCTAAAACCTAAATTGGAGTGTGCCGGTTTGACACCGATCCAAACACGAAACCGCTATGTATACTTGATGACTGGAGGCGGAATGATCACCAGCTCCTTGCAACCCAACCCCATCAGCTCCATTTGGTTCCGTGCGGCGGCGGCAGTAACGGCAACTCCAGCACCACTCATAAAGCAACTCGAGCAGAACCCTAGCGTCCCTCACAGCTCCTCCTCCCCCCCTCCCCGCATCCATGCAAGGCCCGACCTGCACAAATCTGCGCATCAGATCGCCCGCCGACGTGCGCATCATCTTCCATGCCGTCCTGCTCGACATTCTGCCCATGGTCACCCGGAGACTCGACAGCGAGGAGCGAGGGCTTATCGTTCCCGGGTCTGTTTACGTATGGGAAGAGCGGGGCACGACTTCCGAGATTACGGGCGTGAGTGCGAGACTATCCGACGCGTCCTGCGCGTTTCTCACTCGCTTTACGTTAGGTGGGGATCGAGCGGTGGACAGATGGTGAGTCTCCCTGATCGTCTTTTGGCCGACTCAGCTGGAGGCCTTGTCTAGGAATACGATGGGGGCCGTCGCGAGTACGGGAGGTGCGTGTGCTGTCTAAATTGCGCAACTCCACCTCATTCGCGATTGAAGGGCTTTCTATTCTATCACGAGAAGCCTACGACACACTACGTTTTCCCTGGTGGCATGTAGTGAGTGATTGATGGACATGTCCCAGCGCTTGTCTCTGATCGCTGACATCGCTTCTCTCCAGCCCCTCTCATCGCCAGCACAACACCAGCAGCCTACTCTGCAAGCAGACGTTCACAGCATTCGTCGAGACTCCCGGGGGCAGAGAAAATGGCATCTGAGTGCGTCGCCAATTATTTAAGACTTGCACCGAGCTGATTGGTTCAGTCGCTTATTTCACAGAAGATTCGATCGAACGTCTGCATTGCATAGACGACTATCCGACCTTGGCGTGTAAGTCCCGCCCTCCCCTTGGTCCGGTTCTCGAGTTCATTATCGCTCTCAAGCGCTACACGTGCCGCACGGAAAATACAAGAGCGCACGGTCTGTCAAGGGGCGGCCAGACCACATATTCAATCCGGACGACTCGAGTCCAGAGACGACAGTCAGCACGCTCCACCTGCGAATGTCGACGCCGAAAATCCACAACTCTAATCCCCCACCAATACCATCGCCCCGGTATATGCCGCGGTCGCTAACCTGGAACGGCACAGATCCTTCCACTGAGCAGCTTAGGCGGCGAGGATCTGACGCGGTCACTCCTCACAAATCACATTTCCGCCATCTGAGTCTTCCTGAACCGGCGCCAGATCCCGGGGTTCTCGCGCCGTTGGAGTATCTGGAGAACATGACACCTCCACGGCGACACCCGATGGACGAGACGGCCCTGAAGCTGTTCAAGGCGGGTCCGTGACCTGACGTCAGCGGAGCACGGTGCGCCCGGGCGGCGGGCGATGTACTTTTGACAGGCTCATGTTTAGTTCTTGTCTGTAAAATTCCCTCTTGACAACGCACGCATGTAATTAAACGCCAGATAGCCTGCGTCCGACTTTCAGGAACACTGCCTGGCTCGTCTGCCATCTGGGGGCAGGTGGCGTTTGGCTCTGCGGCACAGGCGATCTGCTTCCGCCATTTCCGCCGGGCGCGCAGACGTCTATTAGAGTTCTGGACTTTTGTCGGGACCTGGACCGGTCGGGCGACAGAATATTCGGTGCGACGAGAATTGACGCATGGCGCATGCGGGCGTCGTGCGTCGGCAGCAATGTTAAAGCGTCGCAGACACCTTCGTCCCTTATGATAGGATTATCGACCCTACCCCGCGATGCCCAACATGCGTTGCCTTTTAAAATTGTGAATCCTGCCTAAAGCTTCACAAGAAATGCTGATTATCGGCCTTCTTATCAGTGAGCTCAGCCAGCGTCTTGTCTGGAAACATGTGCTGGCCCTCGATTAGACTCATATAGTAAGGCCTCCCTCCCCCGGCCAAGCGATGCAGCCCGGAGGTAATCGGCAAGATTACTGATTCATATCCGTCTTACACTCTCAGTCCCTGCTCTGGGTCTCCAATGATACTTGGTGCCTACCAGTTATGTAGCGCCTCTCCGCCGGCGGCGAATTTCCACGCGTTAGACAGCCAGCATTAGCCTGTACGATCATCTGCACTGCTCGACACGTAAAAAGCACCGACATTATCAAAATCAGGAAACCCCACAATCATTCATTCATCCAAAATTGCTCGTGCTATGTAGACGATGTGGGCATCTCGGCGAACACCCTATCCAGCGGCTAATTGTTCTGCGGCGATGTTCGCTGTCAGCGTTCCGTAAATCTGGCCCGCCCGCCCCATCACGCGCCGTAGTTTGGGCTGTAGCAGATTGAGATTGACAACCGAAGACTCGGGAGCCGGACCGGATGCTGACGGACGGACGGCGAGCACGGCAAATGCAGGCTCGGCAACAGACGATGATGGCGGCGGGAAAGGGCGCTCAGTCAAGACCTCGCTACGCGCGCAACTGGTTTGGCCGGCGCGGGTGTGTGTGTTATTAATCGAATGGATTAAGATCAAATGGTTGGAGGCTTCTGTGACCGGCGGTTCAAGGGATGCACGACATGAGTCTTGCTGCTTGTTGTAAGAATCTTGGGTGCAGTAAATAAAGACCAGCCAGTCAAAACATTTGATGTCGGACTGATGGATCTGCAACTGAGGCCCGAGGGAATTCGAATCCCTTGACAGTTGACATCTCATGATCGACAACCAGCAAGTTCCTGAGCTCGGAATCAGATCGAGACTGAGAAGGAGGTCGAATCTGTGTTCTCGATGAGATCCTTAGTAAGTTGCCGAGTTGAACTTATCAATAGGTCACGTGTTTACACGATCACGTGAGATACTCGAATTTAGAGAGGTATGATTAATTGCGGTCACGTCACAGCGTTACCTTCGTCGTGCGAAGCTACGTAAGTATCTAGTCCCGGATAGAAAATCTTGCGATTATAGATCCACCAGGTAGGTGACGGGCGGACCGTGTCGGATTCATTCTCACTTGTTGCTGTGCTGACACGGATACCCAGCACGGATGCCTTGAGAATGCACCGCCTTGATGCAGGTTCATGTGAAGTTGCAGACGATGACCTCGAGTCGGACACTAGAATCTCAAGCTCGGAGAATGGGTTCGGAAGGGGAGTCAGCTCCGGGTCTAGATTGTGGAACCAGATTCCGTCGATAAGTCTCCCGAGTAAGACATCATCGTCCCGGTCTTGCATGCAAACTGTCGCCCAAAACTCGGCAGAACGAAGAGACGCAATATCTGTAGAATAATCTGCATGCTTCAAAATTTTTTGCGTGAGACATCAGCTTGAATTCTTTGAATTGAACAAGACGCACAGGATTCAGGCGAGGGCCCAACCATCGACCCTCCATGTCGAACACACAGAAAGTAGTCATCCATCCGGTGTAAATACATGCCCCTTGGCGGTCCCACGGCCTAATTATCGTGCACATTCTGCCCCAGAACTCTGCCTCAGAGTCGACGAGGGCCCCGTCGCAATCGAAGATAGTGAGAAAATGCGCCAGGACGCGATCGAGCAGATGCGACCAGGCGACGAGCTGCATGGAAGCGTACGACCTCAGGCGGCCCACTCGTTCCCGAATGTCAGACCAGTCGGATTTCGCGCCGGCCAACGTGACATGCGAAACTCTCTCGGCACCGGGGTGCGGTGAGGGCCGGGCCCCGTGGAGAGCTGCGCCGTGATTCAACGGGTCTCCACCGAGGACAGCGGTCGCTGCAACCACGACGTCCGTAGTAGTCGTCGTCGATAGACTAGGGAGCACCCACTCGGCCACATCGCGGCCGACCAGTCCCTCGCAGACGCGCATCAGCTCCGCGGCGAGAGTGCGGTCGTCGGTCGCAAGGCCGACGTGGATTGTGGGCTTTAGCTGCGCCTTCGGAATCCGGTACACTGTGTGGGGGAGGGTGGGATGATTGTCAACATGGCGGATGAATTGCAGGACGATTGAGATCCAGATGTCGTCCGGGCGCAGGACTAAGTGATAGTTGTGCATGTGAGAGTGGGCCATGGTGTCGAGTATCCCGCCGCCCAAGGGAAGGACATTATTGATTCGCATTTCATGCAGAAATTGGATTTTCTCGCCTGCCACATCTGTAAATATCCAATTCAATCGCCGAGATCCCGAAGTTGCCACTGACTGCTCCCTCACCGTGACTTTGTCTTGTCTTGAAAGCACCGAGGAATTTTGCCAGTGAAGCGCGCTTGTTTGAATTTCTGTGATTGAAAGGACTAGAATTCATGTGAGTCTCGGCGAGCGACGGTAGAAACGCAGCAGATTTCAGACCTCTCGGGCCACGCAAAGGAGCAATCTCGCAAGTCGCTCACGAGATACTGAGGCTGGTACGATTGAGAGAGAATCCCCATCGGTGTGAGGATACCCTCCTTCAGCACTAGAGCAGGACTAGGATGCCGATTCGCGGCCAGACAAAAGGTCACTGGCATAGATAAAGGTGCCAGCAGTGGTGTGTCGGGTTCTCCCGGAATCTGAGATGGTCACTGGATACCTGTGCGAGACGTGGTTGGGATCAGTGAAGAATGTCGCGGTCATATGAGGCCAGCAGTAAGCTATTAAATCAGGAATACTCAGGAGTTTATGACTGGCTCGATATGATTGGTTCAACCTCACTGTCAGCCTCCAAGAATGCGTGACGTGCGTGACCTCTTCACGTGATACCACGCCCCTTTTGGGAGGCTTGACGTAACTGGCAGCCCCTTGTGTGCTCTTAGAGTCATTGCGCTACTGCCACCAACTAACCACTGAACATGCTTCGCGTCATGAGTCGTCTGCCCGGAACTCTGTTCCCATTCACCTGGTATACTCATCACTGCTTGTGACCCTGACGATGATGATGACGGTGACCCTCCTAGCGTGTGGTCGGCCACGTTCCCCCTGCAACCCCTGCGGCGTCCGCCGACGCTTCCACCGGAGATCTGGCTGGAGATATTCCAATGGGCGACGTACGTCTACTCGTCCACGACGTTCGAGCCCCTGGATCCCTTCATCGCCAAGCTGCCTCACGACGTCGCGGGGAGCAACGCGCCCATCGCGGCGATGCGCACCAAGTGCGCGCTCGTGCTCGTCTGCCGGGCGTGGCGGCGCGTGGCGATGCAGCTTCTCTACCAGCACCTCGATATCAGGAGCCCGGCGCGTGCGGCGATGCTGCTCCAGACGCTTCGCAGCTCACTGGAGGAACCGGGGTACTGGACGCGCTACATTGAGGTCAGCGCACACGCGCGCGGATGCAACGATATCCGCTACCTGCAGAATCTCTTCCGCATATTTCAGTACTGCCGTCGGACCCGCGTGCTGAACGCGACGTGGACGAGGACGGCGGTCCCGGTCGAGTTTGTTGCTGCTGTGCGGGCGCTGTACGGGCCGAGCTTGCAGATGCTGTGTTGGAACGAGATGCAGGCGCGGACACCGATTGAGTTTCTTGGTTCGTTCAGTGTGCTTCGTGTCCTTGATTTGCGCCAGTTCTCCGCCGATCAGAGCCAGTCCTCTGCTGAGAGGACGGAGATCCCATCCCTCACGCATCTCATTCTCTCCAATGATCCGTCGAATGTTAAGACTGCTACGATGCTGCTGCTGCCTTCACTGTGCACTCTGACTCTACATTGTGCCACGCGTTACGACTGCCCAGTGGTGGAATCTCTGCTAGATGCGCACGGCGCAAGGCTGACCACCGTCCATCTCCCCGTGCCCAACTCGGAGAGCGAAGCCCATGCGCACATGCGTTCATCAACCTTCCTCATCCCACCGGCAGTCTTCCTCACGCCCAACACGTGCCCTCTGCTCGACACACTGACGTTCGGAATCCACTCGTCCGTGCTGGTCTTCGATCCATCGTCGCCCGTGTCCGAGCCGCATCTGCACACTGCGCTCCGCCGCATCGCGATCTATTCGGTCCGCGGAGATTCTCTCTACCCATCGAAAGGCCCGAACGAGACGCAGAACCACCTTCGCTCGTTCACGCGCGCGGCGTTTCCCGGACTGGAGACAGTCAAGACGATCGGATTTATGGTTGATGCAGATGCCGATACGCTGTTGAAGGACGTGTTCATCTGGTGGAGCGAGCGATTTGAGAAGGACGGAGTTGATTTCCACGATGGGGAAGGCGTCGTCTGGGCCTACTGTGACGCGGTCCAGGAGGAAAGCAGCAAGCAAAGTTTGTTGGCACCGTGAATCGGACGTAAAGTTTCATCAGTCTGCTGCTACTCTTACGCACTCCGGCACTTCTCTAATTGCTTTCGCTGCTTGTCGATTTCGATTCAGATGCAACAAAAGTCCTATGTAGTTAATCCGAATGATGCATTGCGATGTTGATCGATGATTTTCGTCGATACTATCTTGCCCTGCGCTCCCCGTAGCATGCGGACAGGGCGATGGGATGCCGTGTGTGAGAAAGCTACGCATTTTCCTCGAGGCTCTGAGCTTCTGACGAAGCATGATGTGCCTGGGCAGCTGCCTCTACGTGCCAGAGCGAAGTGCATAGCTTCAGAGATGCCGGCAGTTTGTTTAGATCTACCGGGGCAGACATACTGACTCTAGTGCTCTGAAACTCCGCCCCTGGTCATCTTACGGCGTGGCAGGATGCACAAAAGATGGAGTGGAGCGAGAGAGAGATTCAGACAGGCGATATAATCAGTCCTAACAAGCAAAAGAGAAAGTTTTCCCGAGTTGCCGCCAGAGACATCACAATCTGTGATCTCAGAAGGGCAAGCTTCTCTCACTGTTCGCAGCCCGATATGACTCTCTAGGCCCAGTCCCTGGCTGTTCGGGACCGAAGATCTTACTTGCCTTCAGCATGTAGCGGTCGATTTGATTTCGGCAAGTGACGGGCTTGCGTGCATGATAGGCATAGGAACTCGAACTGGACAAGACAAGTTGAAACAGGCTGCACTTCGACATGTTCTGAGTTGACCGAGATCGCCGGTTGATCGAAGGAGCCTTACGGATGATCGGCCCGGCACGAAATGTGATCCGACAATATGAATCTGATCACCGCCTAGCCCGCCACCGCGTTCATGAGAATCGACTGCACACGTCGTCAATCGCGGACCCCATCCTCCTCTCGAAAGCCATGCAAGTCTGCGTCCGCTGCAGCAAACGCAAACTCTGTTGCGAACTTCCTGGACGATGACGTTACGACAGGTGGCTCGAGTCCTCGGCCGAACACCGGCGGGCTCCGCCTTGTCCGCTGCAATTCTTGCTTCTTCCACCCACCTTGGTCGCCGCTCTTGCCCACCCATCCGCAGCGCTCAGAAAACGCCCTGCTTCCGTGTACGGCACCTTTAGTCGCAAATTAAGCTCCTGCAGGCTTGTGGGGCAAACGTGGAGCCAGCGCCTTGCCGTCTACACCCACCCCACCCCACTCGTCCGCGATGTTTTTTTCCGGATTTTGGATATGGACCTGGACTTGGATTCTGGCTGGCGCATTCAGAGAGGTCTCTGCTGCTGCCGGCGCCACTGCTGCTGCGGCGAACTACACGGTTGCCGCTGGCTGGTATGCCGGGTGGCACGCCACAGACCTCCCTTTGACGTCTGTCCTGTGGGACAAGTACACGCACATGACCTATGCGTTTGCGTGAGTTTCGGTCTTTTGGACGTCTGCCGATTTAGAGCCTGAGACACATGCAGCGTCCCCACAGAAGACCCGGCAGCGATCTCGTTGGCTGATTCGGATGCCCAGTTTCTGCCGCAATTTGTGTCTGCTGCCCATAGAAATGTGCGTGTGTCCGTGTGTCCCGTGGCGCTTGTTTGTCTTCTGGTGCTCACGATACTTGACTAGGGCGTAAAAGCCGGACTTTCGATAGGCGGTTGGGGAGGATCTCAGTTCTATTCTGTTAATCTCGGGTCCAGCGCTAATAGGACCGCGTTTGTGAAAAGTGTCACGAGTCTCGTGCAGAAGTACGGCCTCGATCTTATCGACTTCGAGTACGTTTGTTCATTCGATCAGTGGTTCCCAGGGTGCTCACTCGATCACCAAGCTGGGAGTTCCCTGCCACACAGGGCGTTGGATGCAACACCATCTCGTCCGATGATCCAGCCAACTTCGTACTCATGCTCGAGGAGCTGCGCGCCTCTCCCAGCGGCAAGAATCTGACGCTGACGGCTGCGACCTCCGTGACCCCTTACGCGGATGCCAACTCGAGCACGATCGCGCAATTCGTGGGCGCGCTGGACTGGATCGTGCCGATGGTGTACGATCTGTCGTGGAACTGGACCGCAGGGTCGCCGCGGATCCAACGTGCGCTGCCGTCCTCGCCGCTGGACGACTCGTGTTATTCTAGTGTGCCGGATGCCACGGCTGGTGCGGGGAGCACTGCGGGCTCTGGGCTCTGGGGGCTTGCGGGTCGAGGAAGTGCCCGATCAGCTGTCGAAGCGTGGGTCGGCAGTGGTGCCCCAGCCAGTAAAATCGTGCTGGGAATGCCGGCATATGGGCATTCGTTCAATGTGAATGCATCGGCGGCCTTCGTAGGACCCAATTCCACGCTGCTCTCGCCGTATCCCGCTTACGACACGCTGAACCATTCGATCGGTGATTCGTGGGACTCGACGGGGGGAGTGGATCAGTGCGGGGTCTATCAAGGACCTGGCGGGACCTGGGACTTTTGGGCACTCGTCCAAGGCGGATATCTGCTGTCGAATGGCAGTGCAGCACCCGGCGTCCCATATCGATGGGATCAGTGTGCAAGCGTCCCCTACTTGTACATCAGCAATTCGGGTGGCAGCGGTAGCGGTAGCGGTGGGGTCCTCGTGACATACGATGATCCGCAGAGCTACACCGCCAAGGGCACGTTCGTCAGGGCGAACGGTCTGCGGGGATTTGCGATGTGGGAGGTCGCTGGTGATCCACGGGGAGTGTTGCTCGATGCCATTCGTGAGTGGGCGGACCTGGCGAGACTGTCTGCGGTGCTGACGTTCTTGAAATAGTGTCTGCACCCGCGCCGACGGGGACTGCTGTGCCTGCGTCAGCTGCCGCCCCTTCTGCTTCTCGGTTGCCAACGAGTTATGCCGCCACTGGCTTTGTCGTTCCTGGGATACTCTTTACGCTCTTACTGCCAGCGCTGTGTACGATAGTGTGTTAATTATACAGGAGTAGCCACGCCGACCGTGCCTATGCCGAAATCCGGCAACGGCCACCTCCGATATCTCGAGTGGACGGTCTCTTGTTCGTCAAGCTTCGTGCATGACCATGTCTGCAGCGAGGTTGCTATCGATGGATTCATTCATCCCGGTTAGGTATTCTGTCGTTATCTGACTCTATCACCTGAATCACTTGCCTGGATGCAACGGGTCGAGCTACAATCCGAATCAATCTGTAGACACGCCGCGTCACTGCTGCAGCTGCAGATAATGCGCCAAGAGCCCATTCTCCGCGACTGTCTGCGCGAGAAATGGGGGGAGCGCAGTCCGGGGAGGGTGCGGGGAGGCACCGATGGGCGTAGACTGATGGGGGGCGGCGTCTCATAATATGTTCGGGGTGCAGAATGGCAACTTCCGGGGAACCCACGACTGAAGGGGCTAAATCGGAGAATGGACTATCCGGACGGAACCCACATACATAGGCACTCCAAGGTTAATCGCGACATTTGTGTGGGCCTCGCCTTGACCTCAAGTTCCGTCGAAAGAGGCAGCGGTCCTATTTTGGCCCATGCCTCTTCTACCCACAAAACCAGATATCAACCGTGCTACTCTGCCAGCCGTACCGCTGGTTCCCACTCGACGAGATTTGCCGCACAGGACACAAGCCTCTCCCCGGCAGATGGCCACCGCCAACCTCAAGTTCGCGCCCCTTCGTTGAGCCGCTTTGGGGCCACCAGTTCTGACCATGCTGTTTTAAGTGTGAATTACGACGTGACGATTCGGCAGCAACCCTTGCACGCCAGGATATCGGCCTTGAAGGTTTCGGGTGAGAAATCTCTCTGCTTGCTCGGCGACAGAGGGGAGGGGAGGGTCCTGATGCACCCTTGATTCCAGCAGATCGTAGGCCTGTCGACCCGCCTATCATCGTCCAGCTCCGGGTCACTGAACCCCAGGATAATGGCGCAGGGCTTCGAGGGTGAGTGCCATTCACCACGCTTGGACCTCTGCTGATGATGTGGTTGCAGATCGCACCTGACGAATCCGTACTACTTCATGTATGCAGCCTTGGTCTCCAAGGACGACGACGTCGAGATCAAATGTGTCAGTCCGGCGCAGCCGCTGCTTCGCTTCTCTTCTTCTTCTTCCCCTTCTTCCCAGCTTATCTTATCTGTGATCTAGGACGGAGGCAGACCAAGCACATCTGGCGCCCTTGTCTCGTCCATCCGTGTGCTCAAGGACCACCCCAACTCAGACCAGGACGCAGCGTTCTTCATCTTCCCTGACATCTGCGTGCGCATCGAAGGCAGCTGGCGATTCAAACTAAGCTTATTTGTGATCGACGGGTGCGTGGTCCGCGCATCGATCTGTCACCAGCCGTGGCATCCTAAAACCCATCCTCGCTCAGTGAATCCGTGAAACTCTGCAGAACGACGTACTCCAATCCGTTCTATGTCTATCCTGGCAAGCAATACCCGGGGGTCCAGGGTGCGTCGCGGGTCTTGTGCGAGGCTACAGCGGTTGTAACGATCCCCGTGTACATTAGTCTCGACACCGCTCACACGCGCTCTGGCTGCTCAGGGCGTCAAACTCCGCATCCGGAAGGAGATCAGAGACAAGGGGCCTACCAGCGGGGTCCAGCTCAAGGAAGAATCGACAACGCCCGAGTTCCAGCAGGAAGACGACGACGACGATCTGCTCGACGCCAAATCGCCCCCGAAACGACGCAGGACGTACCCCGAGGACGAGCTGCTTTGGTCCTGTGACTCGGCCGGGTCCTTTCCGGACCAACAGCCGTCCTCGTACCCGAGACCAGGCCCCTCCAAGATGTCCCCGTTCGAAGGTCTGCCGCAGAGTCGCCGCGCGTCGGAGCCCCAGTCCGCGCACCGCTCAGCGTGGTCGCGCGAAGGCTACGAGCCGAATGTGATGGTCGCGATGACCAAGCCCCCCGTGTCGGACTGGGAGCCGATGCGTCCCGCGCATCCGTCCCCCGAGCACACGCATGCTGCCACACCATCCTACGGCTCGAATTACCCCTTGTCGATCCAGTCGCAGAGATATCCGACGGCGTGGTCGGATAGCAGAAAGGACCACCACCACCATCAGCAGCAGCAGCAGCAGCAGCAGCAGGGGCTGTTCCCGCCCCCGCCAGCATTCTGGCCATCGGACCCGGGCACAGCCAGGTCCTCGAGGGTCGCCGATCCGCACCAGGCCGGGGGGACTGTCGTCGGGCAGCGCACCCCGCTCTGGACGTCGCGGCCCATCTACTGACCCTACCTGCCGCTCACGACGATCATCATCATCATGCCCACATTTTCTTTATCATACGTGTTGAGTAATCACTGTAGCCTGCCATCAAGATCGTGTACTGTACTTAGATAGAGGTCAAAGAGAGACGTACAATCATATAGCTTTATGAACCCTCCCAGTCCAGACCCAGCGAGCCCTCTTTCCCCCCTCGCACGGCAGCTTCAACGGCCTCTGCCAGCGCCCGCAGCGCAAGCACGTCGTCGGAAAGGCCCGCGCCTGGTTTCGCGCCGGAGATGTCCGGCGCGGATACGCCGAGCGCACGGTGCAGCGCGTCTTCGCGGTCTGGACCCCGGAGTGTGTCGATGGAGCGGAGGAGGGCGGGCAGATTCGGGTGCTCGACGAGCGTTTTGCGGACCGCGGGAGAGGTCGCTGCCTGAGGTGAGCTGCGAGAGGAGCTAGAAGCGCAGGGTTGCATACCGATAGCTTCGTATTGCAGCACTTGCAGTGCTTTTGGATCGTCTCGTTTCAACGGATCTGGGTATGCGGATTCTTCTGGGACGTAGGGCCAGTTCAGCGATGTCAGCGGGCGCAAGGGCGGCGCATCTTCCTCGGGCGGAGGTGCTTCAAAAGGTTCGGCGAGGGGAGGAGGAGAGGGCTCCAATGACTGAGGACGGGCTGACGACAAAAAAACGCGCTTTGGAGCGGTCGATCGAGTGAATAGGGCTTAAAACTCACTGGCAACTTCGCGCGTCCTGTCAGGTGAGCATTCCGTCTCTGCGAACAGTTCCATGAGTTTTTGCACAGGAAAACATTCCGCTTTTAAAGCACCTTTATGTTTCTTGTAACACGGCACCGAGCAGCTGGAAGCTCCTCTTGAGCAGACCGCGAGACAACAGCTATTGACCAACCAACTATACGATTGCGCATCCCGAGCAGGTGTATTTGAACTGATTCGCCGAGCAGACTTGACAGAGGATTTCCCGGTTTTTTGGAGGCATAACCTTCAATTACACTGCCGCCAGAATATGCCGGGTGGGTGACAATGAGCGCGAACGTCAAGCTTGGGCGAAAACTGTCGGAGTTCGAAACAGGCGTGATCTAGGCTTCCAGCGGCGTCGTCGATACAATCAGATTTCGTGATCAATCTCTCCCATCCGAGCCCGGCAGCGTCCCAGCAAAAGTAATGTTGATCTGGACGCCTTACACACCGTTGCAAAGCTCTCACTTGACCATTGGAGTAGGGGGTCACGTGCCCCGGATCAGTCCATAGTTCACACGATGATGTTCGTTGACAAGGATAGGATTCCTTCTGCTTCCATCACGACGACCGGCCACTCCACCATGTCCTCAAAATTGCAACCTGATCGGCACCCTAGAGATCCATTAGCTGACCGTCGACTCAGCTGATTCTCCCCACAGACGAGGTCGGAAGAAGAGACATTGAACCCATGGCCCTAACAAGCTGCGTGATCTCTTGGCTCCGTACTGGAGAAGATATTCCTTCTTGGTTCATGAATTTCGACATTGAAAGCCAGTGCTGGCTTACTTCTGGCAGAGAAGGTCACCGCACTGACCTGTCCGAATTTGTCCGCGTGCAATTTCATTCACTTGTAACCGATTCCGCATCAGGGGAGCGACTGCTTCGACTTACTTTTTATTTCTGACTTTCAGTGGAATTCTCGATCTCGTTGGCCGATTTTTGTATCTTGCTCGATGGACGACCGCGGCTCAAATGGTTTCTGGACTAGACACGACGTCAGATCGCCGCGCAAAAAAAGAGCAAGTCTCACAAAGCAGAAGCCAGGCATTTGCTGAGGGCCAGTCATGGGCCGTCGTGATCTTCATTTTGGGGATCAGGCTGGCCTCTTGTGTCTGCACCGGGGCCAAACATGCATGACTGCGTTGAAATGGACTGATTATTTCAGTGTCTGCTCAACGGCGACCTCGCACCATCTTCAATGCACTGAGAAACTGTCTGCCAGATCTCATAGATCAATTAGTACCGCGCTCGTGGAGGTACTCACAAGCAACACGAAGCGGCTGTTTTCTGGCTAGGGCTCGCTCGACTCTCGCCGACGATTGCCACGGAATCGTCGCTCCCCACGAACTATGTGTTTCGAGTGCTACACGATCTGGGGCACTTTGGCAAGCCACAGTACTTTTTCGAGAGGGTAAAGATTTGACATGACATGCTGCACGGCCGTCTGCTCGAAGCAGGTACAAAGCTCGAGAACATTATCGCAGTCTGAAATCGATCGTCAAAGAATCGCCAAGACAGGGTCTCCGACGGCCGAGCTCAACGCTTCCATTGACAAATATAAGATCCACTCAGACCATTTCGCCTCTTGTGTTGGAACCATCGCTCCGTCTCCCAGCGTCGAGCAGGCGATAACAATCGGTTATGTTGACCTGGATCCCAGATCGTTGTTGCATCAAACGTGCTCCTCCCGCAGCACACAGTATGCAGCATTGAGATTATGTCTCGTGCTCAACCGGGTCCCCAATTCTCGTTCTTCCTCATATCCCGGATGTGTCTCAGCGAGAAATCAGCAGAGGAAGCCTCGAACACGTTTGTTGAACGGGCTCAAGATATTCAGAAACCTTTTTCGATTCCGATTCACAGAGGAAGGATCTGAAGCCTCTCAGAAGTCGGTTTCACAGAACCTGTCGGCACTTATTGACACCATTTCGAGGGACTTGATTGTGCGTGAGCCCTTTTAGGTATCCAGGCGACCACTTGCTCTGGATTTAAGCCCCTCGTCAGTGCTATTGAGGTGTACGGCAAACCAGGGCTGCCGCAATGACAGATTTGTGCACCCAAGTTCCCGACAACATCTTGGCTGGCTCTCCATCTGGATGGCTCTGCAAGACGTCGAGGATCTGGGATGTTAATTCACAAGTCAATTTGAGTTAATGACTTGAATGGCGCTGTTGATTAAAAAGCTCGCTTTCCTGAGTTCCGATACAGCCCGTCTAGCTGCACGCCAGATAGCTTTGCCTATTTACTTCAAGCTCTACGAGTGTCAGCCATTGTCAGTAAACAATATCCTTTAGAAGATGACGAACCAAGCAAGATCGTTCGGTCTACCGAAAGACGGATGGCGGTGATCAAATTGGTCGAGTATGATACAGCGTTCCGCGATGGCTCAAGTGAACTAGATCTCAAACCGCTTGAATGGCCAGAAATTTGGATCATCCTACGACTCGTCGAACTGCCTGTCATACTTTGCAAGCAAGGACAGGGTAGTGGAGGCCGATGTTGCTGCCGGACTCGCAATCCGATCCATATGATAGTATCAAGGTCCTTCGCTTAATTTCGTTATCCGCGCATTTTTCTTTTGGCAGACTCGCCCGTTGGACTTTGCGATTTGCACCAGTGTAGCCAGTAGTCGCAGACCGTGATAAAGCGAACACATATTGACATGTGGCGGTGCCGATTACGAAGCCAGAATGTCAGCGAGCACGGATCCCTTCCATCTCTCCACAACCTATTCATGTCGTCCGCCTCCTCGTTCTTTCGTCGTCGTCGGGCATGGGTCCTAATATTTTCCGTGCTCGGCCTGATATACTACTTCGGTTCGCCTTTCCAACTGCCCGAGGCAATCAAGGACGTACCGAATCTCTCACGCGCAAACATAGCCCAGTTTGCAAGAAACAGCACGAACGACCCGGTCGATGAGATATACGGCCTGATTCATCTCGTGACCTCCCCGGAGGAGGACCGTCAGCACATTCTGGGGCACACGGAGGGTTTCGACCCCACGAAGCCCGTGGATATGAGTCTGTATGCCGCTGGGGCCAAGGCCATGAACTGGAACAAGCGTGCCAAGGAGCTCGACCAGAAGTACCCCCTGGTTGTCTTCAGCAAGGTATGCACGTCGTCTGGACGTGTTTTCCCGTGTCTGATCGTGTTTCTCAGTCTTATTGCCCGTGAGTTTCAATGCCCCTGGGGGTGCTTCTTCATTCCCGTCCCACACGCAAACCCAGGTTTTCGCGACGGGCAAAGGAGCTTTTGGCGTCTTATGATCTTTCTCCGCCTCCCCAGGTCATCGAAGTCGATCTCAGAGGCGCGTTCTCCGGCCGCTTATTCGGCTCGAGCTTCCCAGGGCTAATCAGTGTATACTAGACGACGCGACCCAGGTCAAATCGCTTCTCACGCGACTCACGCAGCACAGCACGTTCCCGAATGTCATCATCCGGGGCAAGTCTATCGGTGGCTCGGATAACCTGCAGGCCCTTGCTGCGAACCACTCGCTCAAGCAGATCCTGGAAAATGCGGGGATTTCAGTCCGCGCCAATGTGTAATACGTTGTTTATGTGTTCTTTATCCGGTTTATTGCCTTGTGCTCGTACCCACCAAGTAGTAAAAGTATTTATCGCGCTTGGAAAGGAATGCAAAGCACATCGCCAAACACGTGTATACATAACACATCATCTCTTCTAGATGCCGCCCCAGCACATCGCCATTCTGGGCGGTGGGCTCTCGGGTCTCTCGTCCGCTTTCCACCTCTCCAGGAGGTTTCCAACATGCAAAATCACCATCATTGAGAAAAACAAGCAGCTCGGCGGCTGGGCTGCCAACACGGCGCGTGTCACACTTCCCGGCGGTCGCGGGACCGTCGTCCTGGAAGGGGGTCCCCGCACCCTCCGGCCGAACTCGAACGCAGTGCTAGAGCTGGTGACGTGCCCCTGCGCGCTTTTTTGTGCCCACCAACGCAGCCGTCTGACGCGTCTCAGGTGTAGATCAACCTGCTCGGGCTCTCCGACGCTCTGCTCACGACGCCGAAGTCGTCGGCGGCGGCCAAGCGGCGGTTCCTCCACGTCCCGGGAACGCCGGGCATCTGGCGCATCCCGGGCCCGACGCTCTCGTTCCTGTGGTCTGAGCTGCGCTTTTTCATCACGCCGGGCCTGGTGAACGAGCTGGTGCGCGGGTGGAACCGGCCCGCGGACATCGTGGACGAGTCGCTTGAGAGCTTCCTCACGCGCCGCATGCACCCGGTCACCGCGCGGATCCTGGGCAGCGCGCTGGTGCACGGGATATACGCGACGGACGCGCGCCTGCTGAGCGTGCGTGCGGCGTTTCCGAAGTTGTGGGAGATGGAGGAGAAGGGGAACGGCCGGCTGTTGTGGGGCCTCCTTACCCGATCGCGCCAGGATAGGAACGAGGAGAAGCTCAAGGTGGAGGAGGACCGTCAACGGTATGAGCTGGGTGATGTTATGCCGCTCCTAGAGGGAGCTGCGGTTTTCTCGTTCCGCGACGGGATGAGCAGCCTTCCGCAGGCACTGACTCGTGCGATCCGGCAGAATCCGAACGTTGGCATTATGACTGAGACAGAGATCGAGTCGTTACAGTTGAATGAAGAAGGCTTCGAGGTACGTGAAGGCATCGCCTGCGATTTCATTAATGCCTGGCTCACGGGCTCTAGATCACAACCAAGCAAACCAATCCCGTCAGGCCCTCTCATGTCGTATCTGCCCTGCCGCTTCCCATTCTCCATCAGCTGCTTCCGGCAACACACGAGCTGCCATACCTTAGAACTAACCCGTATTCCTCGGTGACCTCGATCAATCTCGTCTTCCCTGGGAAACGGATTTGGCCCCGGGGGTTTGGATACTTGGTTCCTCGACCCCAGAACGACTACGCCGTGGATGAGGCTGGGATTCTCGGTGTGGTGTTCGACAGCGAGGCGTTGTCGGGGCAAGACAATCTCGCGCCAGGGGAGCAGATCACGAAGGTGACTGTCATGATGGGTGGCCCGCATCGGAATGTGGATACCCGCATCCCGGTTGTGCTCGCCCACCTGCAGTATCAGCTGAACCGCAGCAAGCCCTTCCCCGAGCCGCTGGCCGTGAAAGTTTGGGAGAACAGACACTGCATCCCGACGCCGATGCCTGGGCATTTGGTTCGCATGGAGCGGCTCCAGGAAGCTTTGAAAGGAGATCTGTGGCAGGGAAGGATGGAGGTTATCGGCGCTGGAGTGAAAGGCGTCAGCGTCGGGGACTGCATCGAAAGCGGGCGCAATGTAGGGCTGGAATGGTAATGGCAATCCCAGGACGTATGAGATTTTTTCAACTCCGACGCTTCCATGTCGAACGCTTGCGATCTCAGATCTCACGCTTATCTATTCCTCCTTTACATGTGGGTTGGTCAACGTGTAGAGAGCATCTTAATTCCCACCAGTCGGGCGTCCACTTTTCCAAAACTTTTCGTTTATGCCAAGTGGCTTATCCCCAGTCTCATGACCTGTCCATATGAGGCAATTCGCGGTGGGGTGACCTGACGCGCATGGATATTAAAGAGAGATATACTGGCGCAACAGGCTGTAGCATAACGTTAAGCTCTCGAATCGTTATCCGTCGCTCGCCAACGTGGCGGGCGAATGGCTCGCTTGCGCCGGGGGGATGCCCTTGCGTTTCCGAATCCGCTCTGCGCGCCGGACGGATACGGGAATGCCCGCCTCGCTCAGACTCTGGCAAGGCACGGACATGAGGCCTGGATCTGTGGATGACGGATGGGTTCGTGACAGACCTTGGTGAGTTCCGTCGAAGCCTCAAGGCGGGGAACGTCCTTGGTGGAATACACCTGGAACGGATTGCCCCAACACTCGCCCACGATCCGGTGCACCCGATGGCCGCCCACGTAGGACGCAGCGGTATCTTCCATGTTGAACAGCCGGTATCTGTGCCGCGGCGTCGCATCACATTCATATCTTTCCCCGTCACTGCATCATTCCTTGCGCACCTGAAGAGAAAACGGCCAGTTTCCATCGAAGACAGATCCTGGAACGCGCGTCAGGGATGCTATCCGCAGCACGACGAAGCGAGCCACGCACCGTGAACGGGAAGACGACCATAGCCGCACCCTCATGCTGGATGACACGCGCATTCGTAACCGATATCTCTGACAGCGCCCTCCTACAGACGAGAGAATCTTTTGCGCAGGTCAGCAGGAGACAGTCAGGTCACGCAACACATGCACTAGCCGAGTTGGTCTGGAGGGAGGCCGGTGCGTGGATCGAGCTCTGGCAGATACCTGAACAGCTCCGGCTGGCAGACGAAGCTGTCGCAGTTGACCGATCTGCAGAGCACGGAGAGAGAGAGAAATGAGTCACGGGAGTTTCGCTGGGCACATCGCAATGCGCGCGCGCTCGCCTGTAGTCTGTGATCTCTGCGTCCGTGCTATCGCCCGCGAAGAATCGAAGCTGCACCACTGGAGTCACGAGGATGCGATCAATGAGGCGTATTCATGATGAATGACAACACAGCAAAATGCACCCGGCGGCGGATCCAAGGGACGTCTATCCACCGCGACACTTCTGCGCACGAGGCTCGCTGCATCAGGCCGAGAGATAGCACAGCGGCAGCTCACTCACATGCGACCCCCGCATTTGCGCCCGACTTTCGCGGTCTGAATTTCGTGGATTTCCGGGCGTATGCTGTGGAGGGGGCCCGGGCAGCGGCTGCACTCATCGTCGGCGGGGACTACGATTTCGACGTCTTTCGTGTTGGGTGGCGGGTGGTGTTTGAGCATTGACACAATTTGGCTCGTGGGTAGCACGGGCCGCGGCTGATGGATCTCCAACGGCGGTGGCGGCGGTGGCTCACCGAACACGCCCCGGAGAGATGAGTAATACGACGGCGACCAGGACATGGCGGAGACTAGTGCAAGAAATAACAGTAGAGGACAACGCCAGACAGCAGGCTGCGGCTTTTTATACTCGTCAGACTGGCCATGGATTGATTGAGCACACCGCATCATGTCTCAGGGTAAAGTGCTCTCCACTCCCCCCCACGGATATTTCGCACGCAAAGGCTATTTACCGCATCTCGATCCAGCAGCTAATTATTCACCGGATGCGGAAGTTGAACGGGCACGTGGCTGTTGTTCATCACCCTCGAATCCAATTCGACATCAGAGGAGCACAGCGAGGTGGAATTCAGATGCGCTCTGGTCGTCAAAGATGTGATCCCCGTGCGTGCGAGGATCGAGTGGTCGCCTGCAAAATGCCCATCAGCACCTGTCGAACCGGGGCGTTTCCGCATGATCATGATGCAGAGTCGAACCGCACATAATTTGGCGTCCTAAGTACTGGCAAACGGCCACAGCAGTGGACCCCCGACTCCAGGCCATGGAAGGCTAAGTGAGACTCTGATGAGAAGTACCAAAGCTGCTTGAGCGCCTGTGGGAGGTAAGAATTGAACACAGGCCGTGCTTCATATATTAAGTAATTCCAGTTCGGAGTCCGAATTCGATTTCGAAGGCTGCCACCGCGTACGCAGGATCTGTGCGTGGTCACATTCCAACCCTACTGTGGGACTATCATCCCTGCTTCTCTCGAATGCGATTGTCCCTACGCCACATAGAAGGCAAATTTCGGAAGGTTCTGACACCCAAGTGAAAAGTGCTTGACTGGGAACGAGACCCTGAGACACTGCTAGCAGGTATTATCACACAAGTTGTCGCAGCCAAGGCCTCATTGCCCGCGGGTGGCCAGTCAAGATCCTGCATTCAAGTAGTTCATTCCGGTTTCTGCGCAACCCAGAACTCCGCTCTATAGATCCAGCGCATCATGGCACGAGAATCGCCCGTGTATTCACACTCGACCGTTCTGCTCCGCTGTCCATCCTCCTGCCCCTGAATCACGAACCCGATCTCCTGCACGGCCTGCAGCACCTCGTCGAGGCTGAGCTCCACCTTGGCCTCGGCCCCGCTCGTCCAGAGGAGCGGCCCCAGGTTGATCCACGTCCCCCCGGGGCGGAGCAGGTGGTATATCTGCTCAAGGGTCGTGAAGACGTTCAGCGACGTGTCGATGAAGAAGAGCGTGACGATGTAGTCGTAGCCGGCGGACGCCGCGGGCTTGCGCAGGGTCAGAAAGTCCTTCTCGAGCAGCTCGAACGTCGGCGAAAGACGCGGGAGGGCGTCCGGGAACGACATGGGGCGGAAGAGGGAGTACGAGGAGCGCTGGTGCGAGAACCAGTGGGCGTAGGGATGGATCGTGTGCTGGTCGATGGCGCTCGTCCTGGACTCCGAGAGCAGAAGCCGCAGCGCAAGCGTCATGAAATACGAAAGCTCGTTGGCGGTGGTGAGAAAGCCTTGAATGACATTCATTAGACAGACAGTTCATGCATAGCACAACACGACCCACCCAGTTCTGAGATCTCCCAGGCGAGCCGCCCCAGTCCCGACCCGGGCACCAAGACACGCATGCCTTCACGTTCCCGTCGGTCGACAGCGCGGAGGACATCCAGAATCGGAGCGAATATATGATCGCGCTCCGACCTCCCGTCGGAGCTCCAGTCCCTCACATAGTGCTTCAACGCTTCCCTCACGCGCATCAAATCCGCGGAGGACCCCCCGCGCGGCGGCACGTCGAAACCAAGGTCGTCCTCGGCGAGCCGCGCGATCGCATCCGTGACGCGCCCGTTGGCGTCCGTCACCTGCGCCAGCGAGTCGAGTTTCGCGGGGTAACCAAGCGTGTAGCCGAGGCGCTTGTGCGGGCGGCTGATGCTCGCGTACGCCGCGCGCAGATGCGCGAACTCGGCCGTGGACAGGTGCCGGTAGCGCGCGAAGGCGTTGTGCGCGCGCTGCAGCGAGAAGGCGCCCGCCTCGGCGGCGTCGAGGGACCGCAGGGCGAGCAGGTCACGCAGCTCCGCCCAGCTGCGGGGGAGGAGGGAGAGGCGCCAAATTATGAATGTGACGGTGCAGGGGAGGGCGAGGGCGAGCCAAACGTCGGACGTCCAAAGAATCTGCATGCATGCAGTCTTACTTGATGAGTGCTGGTCGCCCTGAGCTGCAAATAAGACCAAGCATCTCTATCTAATCGTACAGCCACAGCCCTTAGTGCACTGCCACGACTGGGAAATCTGGCGACCAAGTTGTCCGCAAATTGAAGAAAATATCATGTGCAGACAAAGAGCACACGCAATTTGCTCTGTTCGATGGATTTCGAGTGCAAAGTAGGAGCGTATAAAATGAACAGTCGGAAAGTCGGAGTGCTGCACATCTCAAAACATAACATACCCTCGCTGCCTCATGGAGATCCATTCCTCCGCCGTGTGATTATATGGATACCCGGCCCCCGTCCCTCAACGAGACGCGGAATGGGTCCCTGATGCTGTGTACTGATGCCTTTATCTTACGACCTCCAGCCGAGCGCCAAGTCCCGCCTATCCACACACCTAATAAATGCTCACTACTCACTTCCAGGGCCCGGTGGCCTCGGAAGACGTGGGGGTTTGGACGGCTGCGACGGATATCAATGAAGGCCAAGCGTTGCGCTGTAAGTCCGTGGGTGGGTCCAGTGGCCGTGGCGCGAGGTCCCGCATCAGCCATGTGGGACTGATGACATGCCCGTTAGAAATAAGAGACGGCCGCGATAGAAAAACTGACGGCCGTGATAGAAAAACTGACGGCTCGCGAGGTTGAAATGCATGCATGGCACCCGAGCGGAAGCTTGGCGATTGACGACGGGATCCAGCAGCTGTTTGGTTTGAACGAAGGCATTGTAACTACCGTCTGTGTCCAGTTAGTCAACCTGAGTTCCAGACCTGCGGATGTGTAAAAGCTGTAGATGACAGCAGCAGCGCGTGAGTCGCAACCGCAGGTCGGTGACCAGACCAGCGAGCGTTATCTGTCACGATGATGTGATATCTCGGCGTCACGTTGCCATTTCCGTACTCCCAACTTAGATCAGTTCTTGCTACCACGGTTTACGCGCAAAATGGGGATAAGTCTATGGAATGCCCGGGAGCGGTTCAGGAACGATTACAGTCGCAGGTTACAAGGCACCCAAGCGCACCGCTACCGCTACCGCTAGCCATGGGCCGCGGCTGATTGATGACGACCATCTCCGATTGCCCACTGCGTTGGAAATCATTCAAAAACGCACCGGAGGCATTTCGGGTTCACCGTTCCTCATATCCCACTCTCGTTTGGTTATGCTCTTCTTTGCCCTGCAGCTTGCTGCGGCTGGTTCTGCGCTTGTCGCCCCCACTTTCGTTAACGCCCGAAGTCTTGACACTGGTGTCTTCCCCGCTCTCATACCTTGACCTCTCCTCTGGGTCCCGTCGTTGACCTGGGGTGTGCTCCTTTGTCTTGTCCGCTCTCTCTGTGTTTACGTATTGATCCAGTTACGCTGCCTATGCCGGCAACTCGTCCCTCCCGGGTCTGACTTTCTATGGCGGAATCCCCTACACCCAGCCACCCGTCGGCAATCTTCGCTTCGCTCCGCCCAAGAAGCTGGTCGAGAGCCACAAATCGCTCAGCAACAGCGACGTGATCGATGCCCGCAACTGGGGAGCTATCTGCATCCAGCAGCCGGCCGTCGTGGGCATCGGCAGCGAGGACTGTGTGACACTCAATGTGTGGACTCCTGCCGGCGCGAATCCGCACAGCAAGCTGCCTGTGTACGTCTACATCCATGGTGGAGGTCACTACTATAACTCGTATGTTTCCCTCTTGAGTGAGCGTTTTTTATGCGGTGATGCCGACGCGTTTGCAGGGCCCAGGGTTTCCCCGCGAACGACTGGGTCGCTCGCTCTAACGGCGGTCTGATCGCTGTCGCCATCCAATACCGTGTATGTTTCTGCAGATCTGGCACTGATCACGCTTTCTGATGTCGTTTACAGCTCGGCATGCTTGGGTTCTTGTCCGGAAACGGCCTGCGGCTCGACCGGTCCGCGGGGCCCAACAACGGTCTGCTCGACCAACGCGCGGCTCTCGAATGGATCCAGCGCAACATTGCGGCCTTCGGTGGCGACCCGAGCAAGGTCACGATCGGCGGGGAGAGCAGCGGCGGAGGGTCTGTTGCCCTGCACATGACTGCTTACGGTGGCGAGCGCAACCCGGTGCGTCGTATTCCGTCTGTCTTCCTTTTCCGGGCTGGTGCTCAACGTTTATCCTGCGCTACCAGCCATTCCGCGCGGTTGTCATGGAAAGCCCCGGGAACGACCCGTTCTACGACGACAGCCACACCGAGCAGTGTTTCCTTGACGCGATTGCGCACATCGGATGCCCCAACGATAACAACGTCGTTGCCTGCCTGCGCAAAGCGACCGGTGCGTCCGCTTCATTTCCGCGCCGGATCTGCGATGCTCACTCTATCCCCGCTAGTCGGCGCTATCGTCTCTGCGGCGAACAACAAGCTCGGGACTTGCAAGTACGAGCCCATCATCGACTGGAACTACGTCGTTGGCATCACCAGCGAGCTTCTGGGGACTGGGCGGTTCAGTAAAGTCCCCATTCTCGGTGGCCATAATGCCCAGGATGGCTCCATCTTCGTTGGCAAGCCCGCGCAGGTCACTACCGATGCGGACATGGTCAAGGCCGTCCTCAAGCGCTACCCGACGCTCTCGCAGCTAACGACCGAAGCGATGCTGAAGACCTACCCGCCCGCGTCGGCATCTACGCCCTGGAAAACTCAGTGGGAGCGGACCATGTGGGCCTACATGGAGAGCGAGGTGCGTGGATGGTGCTTGTGGTCCCCGATCTCCTGACCAACTCGTTATCACAGCTCTCATGCTGGCCCTGGTACATTGGCAACATTTCCGGAAAGCCAGCGTACAACTATCGCTGGGACGCAGTCGACCCGAACATCATCGCCGCGCGCGGCGCCTACGTCGGCGCAGCACACACCGCGGAGCTCTTCTACCTGTATGACGGCACGAACTCGGGCCCCAGCGCGTCCGTCGCGCAGCCCGTATTCACCGCCTTCAAGCCCGCCGAAGCGGACCTCGCGAAACAGGCCGTCGCGTGGTGGTCCAGCTTCGCGATGACGCTCGACCCCAACACGCACGCGGCCCCTGGCGCGCCGCGCTGGGAGCCGGCGAGCCAGAACGGCGGATTCATGGTCCCGAATACCGGCGCGTCGGCTGCGTCCAGCGCGATGTCGTACATCGACGCGGACTACCCGCGGCGGTGCGCGTGGTGGCGCAGCGTTGCCGAAGAGCTCCGGCTCTGAGCGCCGTTGCATTTGAGCGCGATCACATGGTCTGATTTCACAGCCGTTGTTGGATTCGATCTCTCGTGTATCCGCACCCCCATCGTTCATCATTCCACTCCCCGGGATGAACGAATGTTCTTCTGTTCATTATACCTCGACTTGAAACGTATATCTGTATTAGTAGTAACCCGCACGTTGACTGATCTTTAACTGTATAGAACTCCGTGGACCGCTCCTCTACCAACTGTAGCGAATTGTATTCTCAAATCTCACACTATCAAACTGAAAACTGAACCGGAAAAAAGAGAAAGATTTTAATTCAGAAGGAAGTCCTTGGAAACATATAGACTTTCTGAGCAGTAGTCAACGCGATTGGACGCCGGCAGGTGACTGAACAGGCGTGTGCCAAGTAGAGCCGTTTTCACTTGAGGGTCATCTCGTTGAAGTGCACACTCGACTGATAACCAGTCTATATTTCAGCCACAAGAAAGGCCGCGGGTATCGAAGAAATGGATGGGCTGCTATGAGACACAAATACAACAGATGTGGTACGTCGTACACAATCAATCACCTCTAGACAGGCGGGGCACATTAGATTAGATTAGCACTTCTCTCGTCGACCCTACTCCGCCTGCGCCGGAAGCTCGCCGACCGGCTTCAGCGCATCGGTTTCTGCCTGTGGTCGCTTGATCGAAGCCTGTACACCATTCGTCGGCGGACTGCCCATGTTGGTGTCTCCCTGCATCATTTTCGACGACGGCGGGCTGACGGAGGAAGACATGTCCTCCCGTTCTGCGCGGTGGATGACATCCACGTCGCCCTGCACGACGACGCCCTCGAGCCACTTGTGGTGCACCATGTCGCTTGCCTTGGCCCGCTTGTCAGGGTGCAGTCGGAGCATCGGGGTTAGGAACGAGGCGATGTCGTCTGCCTCCGTTTTCGGGAACAGGTACTTGTCGTGCAGTACCAACTCCAGTGGCCAGTAGCGCAGCTTGCTGATGTGCCGCAGTTCACCTAGGAGACAGAATCTCAGGCCCGAACGAAAAGAACAGTCAAGCATGGCATACCTCTTCTATTGAAGAATTCCGAGCTGTATTTTCCACCAAAGGCGATAGCTTTGGGAACATCACCCACCAGCTCCAAGATCTGAGCCATATGATCATCGTCTTTTGTGTACCGAGTGCCCTTTGCGGGATCGAAGAGGTAGTCTCCCCCTGTTATGAGCTCAAAGATCTAGGGGCACGGGTTAGCATCAACCGCATAGCCTGCTGGTATCACAACCGACCACACAAGCGACGCTCCAGATATCAGCGCTCGGGCCCCACTTGGCGCCAACAATGACCTCCGGTGAACGATATTGTCGTGTCTGGATGTCGTCTGTGAAATGATGATGTGTCCAGGTGGCTACGAAGGAGTCAATTCGATGCCATCTCACACGTACACTGACGCACCATTTCCCAAGTCAGCGATCTTCACAGTGATCTTTTCCGCAAGATCAGCTGTGTTCGGGTCGACATCTATCTCCATGTCCCCCGAAGATCCTCCGTTCGGGGGCATCGCCCCTTTGAGAGGCGCGTTCTGTGTCAATAGCGACACATTAGCCGAGTGTGTCGATTTGGGTGAGATCGAAAGCGAATGCAGGTCGATCTCCGAATTGGGTGTCGTCGCCGTTGGTGTCCCGACAGGGCTTTTTGCACTGCCGTCTATTCGGGTCATGCCCAGGCCCCAGCGGTCGACGCTGGCTGCGGACATGTAGCTCGAACTGAGGCTGCTGCTGCTCTTTGGCGACGGAAGCGGTTGCGACACAAAGATGGACGATTGCGTGCGCGGCGTCTGATTTCCGCCACGGCCCTGCGATGGCGGGACGCCGATGATCTTGGGCTTCGGCGCGGAGCTTGAGGGCGAAGCGGATGCCAGTGCAAGCTCCGATTGGATAATGGACTCGACGTCGTCGATGTGCACCAACACATTCTCGGGTTTGATGTCTGTGGCGCATCAGGCTGGGGCATGGAGCGACCGGTCATGGGGCGACGCACCGGTGTGTATGACCCCACAGCAGCGGTGCATGTAGTCCAGCCCGAGCAGCACCTGTTTCGCGATTTGCTTCACCATGGGCATGGGGACACCTTTGTTCTACGGAGAACGTTCGCTCTAATCATAAAGCAGCGCAAAAGACAATCGGGCGCACCTGATGCCGCTTGATGAGACCCAGTAGACTTTCTCCCAAAACCTCGAACACCATACACACGTGCGTGCCATTGGGCCCGTTATGACGGAAATGGTCCAGGAACGAGATGACATGAGAGCGCCCGGGATGGTTGTTCGACCCATTGGGGGAGCTAGACGTGATAAGGCGCTGGAGGAGTTTGATTTCGTCGAGCGCTGTCTCCGTGTATCGTGCGGCCGATTTGACTACTTTCATCGCGACATGTCGTTTAGACCTACGGAACCCGAAAGTTTCAGCATATCACCTCCTCTGCTCGCGGAGAACCGTGCGCACTTGCTGTCCCATGTCAACCAAACTGTAGAGAAATGTCCCCAGCCCAATTTGCGCACGACAACGTAGCGATTATCAGAGAAGGCATCACCAATCTTCACGGGGTGGTATCCGCCCGGTTTGTAGTCCTCCCAGTCCTCCTCGTCCTCCGCATCCGAGAGCTCCGAGGAGACGGATTCTGGCGAGCCAAGCTGATCTTGCATGGAGTGGGCATAGTGTTCGGGGGGTTGAGACATGAGGAAGGGTCTGTTCGAGGGAGGAGCAGCTGGTTGATGGGGAAAGC